CGGTCGCGGCGAAATGTCCTAGACCCCTCAGTGCACGCTATTTAATCGTCCGTATTGGACTTATCACAAAATATTATTATTTTGAACATAATCACAATAATATATAGTATTATAGTCTATTTTTGTACCCACTTGAAAAAAACATCGATTATACTGTTAAAATCTAAGATTTTATTTGGGGTAGCAAAACGATACCCTTGCTACCCCAAAAAAATGTCTGGGGTAGCAAAGATACCCCTCGATACCCCTTAGTGACGCCTATGGAGAATATATTTTACTAGATTCGAACCATTTCTTATCATTACGAGGAGAGATAAGCGAGTGGTCCAATTAAAGCGGTGGTCCAAATTACCCGACTCTCCCCTATAATATAGTATATACACATATCATTTGGTGCGCAATGGTGTTGTGATTTTAACAGGTAAAAAGGGATCGGGGCGCAATCGTGGTGTAATTAGACGGGTCAAGAAGGAAAAATTGCGCAATCGTATTGCAGCGCCAAATCATTATTTAAAATTGGAAATTTCTTCAATTGACATTGTGTTATATTCACTGGGAAAGTTTTATATTCGTTATTGTTATTTAAAAACAAAAATTCTAATTTAACTAACTTACGAGATATTACTATCTGCTACTGCCATAAATTGTACTGCAGGTGTTGAAGTTGAAGTAGATGGTAAATTGCAGTTATTATCCTCACTAAAATTGTTTATGAACATCAATTAATATATATTTTATTTTTATAAATAATAAAATTTAAAACCTTATTTTTTTAAACTTACGAATTTCCACTATTCTGAGTTAGGTTAGGTTACCTACGCTTTCTTTTTTATTATTTTTCCCAAAATGTCTTTTCATTATGCTTTTAATAGACATTTTTTTGGGGACGCTTGATTTGCACTTTTTAATTTCACCGTTTATCGAGTCCAGTTGTAGTGGGTTATTCGTATAATTCACCAATGAAGCATTATATTTATTATTTTTTATTAATTTAAATACACTTATGTAAATATTTTCAGAGCTAAAATATTCAGCTATTAACATGGGATTTTTCTTATTGGGTAACATAGTAGTCCCTGTTGCTACCCATTCAAATCCATCTGTAATTTTATTTGGTTCATTATATTCAATATATATGTACCACTCACCTGATTGTGGCTTGAGTTATGTATATTCAATACTTTCCGTTATAAATGGTTTTTTGAGTATTTTTATTGCTTCTTTCAAGTTGATATGTAAACGATTAGGTAAATAATAAATTTTAACATTCGTTAAATTGTTTGATTCACTTTGATTTTTAAACATATTTAAGTACAATAAGTATAAATATATAATAATAAGATATTCCTCGGCGGACGGATTAGGTACCTACTATTATTTGTTATGGACGTCTCTACAACTCAGATTGTTCGTTGATAAATTAATACGTGGTTTTAGTTATCACTATACTTAATTAAAATAATCAAATCAAAAATAATTTAGTTAAACAGAATATTTATTAGACTTAAATAACAGAGGTTCTACCCGATGCTCAGACAAAACTATTATATTACACAGACAGCGAGACACGATATAGTAACTCGCTCAGGCTCGAAACTACCCACACAGTCCAAATACTTTCAGTCCGCGTGACCGCTTAACTTTGACTGTTCATAAATATAATGAGTTAAAAGTGTCAAGTACAGTTAAATGCCGTGGAGATTAAAATAATTGAAACAGGCTTATTTAGTTATATTCTTTTCATTCACTTTATTCTTGGTTGCTTTTTTAGCTGCCAAAACCATTTTTTAAAACCACAACCAGCCCCTAGCTTACGCTTAGCCTTCATAGCTGTAGTGACCAACCAAGACGCAGCTTTTTCTTTGATACCTGTGTTTTTAGACTTATACACCTCCCAAGCCTGATTTTCTGATACTTGGTTTGCTCTGTGTCTATCGGTTAGTGAATTACTTTTGTCGTATGCAATATCGTGAGCTTTGGCCAACTCGTCAAGTCTGTTCATACCACGTTCACCACGTGCTAATCTTTCTTTTAATTTAGTCCCGGGACCGGCAAATTTATAAACATATTTACAATTTAGATCAGATTTAATAATAATAATTTTGTGCATAGATTTACCTGTAACCGGGTAAATGTAATTCCACGGGTAAATGATTTATAACAGAGTTCAATACCAGAACCCTTATTGTTGTTCCGCTTACGAACGTGAGACATCGTATGACGCTTTCAATGACAGAACATTCGTATTTATAGTGAAAAATTGTAAAAAAATGCGCTTTATCGAGCAAGAGAAAAAACTTCGAATTTATAACATCGATACCCCCGAAACAATTCAGCTGCGTCATGGTGAGCTTTTCCCCAATACACTGAGATCTTTAGTGCTGGGAAGTTCTGGGAGTGGAAAAACGAATCTGATATATTTTTTACTCGTCGACGAAAACGGGTTACGTTTTGAAAATGTTTACATATACTCTAAAACGCTAAAACAACCAAAAAATAAGTTATTAAAACTTATTATTGATGGAATTGATGGTGTTAACATTTTTACTTTGTTTGAGAATGATAAAGTTATTCCACCCGAATAAGTCTTACCAAATTCTATTTTTATCATGGATGATGTTATCGGTGAACATCAGCACGTAATAAGGGAATATTTTTCTCGAGGTCGTCACAATAAAATGGATATATTTTATCTGGCTCAGAGTTATTCATAAGTACCTAAACAGTTGATACGTGATAATGCAAATTTAATAGTTTTATTCAAACAAGATGAAACCAATTTAAAACACGGATAATTTTTGACGACATAAAATATATTATATATTTATTTATTTTACTATAATAATGTTATAACATAATTATTAGGGCTCGGGACTGTGCATTTAAAATTTTAAACTAATGAAATTTAAAGAAACAAACCATTTTGATATTTTGTAGGTAGCTATTTTAGTAGCTGTTGAACTTTCCTGATTTATTGATACATTTTGTTTATTGAAAAAATAAAGTATAGATTATAGAAAAAAAGTTAAATTAGATACATACAGAACAGTTATTTCAAAAATACGCTTGATATTTGACATCCACTAAAAAATCAGATTAATATTAAGTTATTTAAGTTAAAATTGATACCTTGGAACAGCATCTCTTTTCAAACGTCCATTTAATTCATAATCTGCTGGTAAAAAATGATTTGAACATACTCTGGGTGTTGACAAACATAAATTGATCTGACACGCTTTCTTCCACTGACCCTTATGTTCTTCATCTCTAGGAAACCTTAATTAAATAACACAATCATAAATCATTGACAAAACAATAAATATAGGTAAAACAAAGAATACTTACGCATGAAATTTTATTTCGTTATCAGGTTCATATTTCACACCACACACTATACACTTTCTAACCATTTTTGAAAAAATGATGATTGTAAAAAAATAGTGTAAAATTACTAACTATCGTAAATTCAAGTATATTTTGACTGTTGAGTGTTGGATGTTTTAAATAATTGTTATCAGTCAACAGTTATTATCATACAATACATTTTTAAAACACACACAACCTGGAACTCTACTGCGTATGTGCTTAGGTCATCGGGTCTCTTGAGCAGCGTAGCCTGGCAAGACCACACGAACTACACTCTTGCTCTGTCTATTAGTATAAGGTCTATGGTACTCAAAAAGGCGTGTTTACAAAAGGTTATCTACCAAACTGGTCCACGGAAATATTCAAGATTATCAAAATAAATTAAACATTACCTGTTACTTATCAGTTACAAGATTATATGGGCAAGCCTATTGCGGGTTGTTTTTATTCTGCAGAAGAACCATTTAAAACTAATTTCCCAAACGAGTATTTGATTGAAAAAGTTGTACGTAGGAAGGGTGAACAGATATACGTCAAGTGGCATGGATTTGATAACGCACATAATAGTTGGATAAATACACGTGATGTTAAAAAATAGATAGATAAAAACTGATAGGAAACCACGTTATGCTTTAAGACTATACGGTCATAATCGATCGATTATGGGTAGCTTAAAGCACCCTGTACACCAAAAACTATACCTACAATCTGGTTTTCATTGTTCACTAGTTTGTGCTCAAACGAGTTGTCGTAAATTTTAAAAATATTTTAATATGTGCTCAAACGAGTCTCCGCCAATACACGTGATGTTAAAAAATAGGGAACAAGTCTAGTTTACTGGGCACCTTTTTTTTTTGAATTTTTTTTTTTAAAAAGGGTTGTTTTGACGAGTTAAGAACGATGGTGCAAAAAAAAATTTGCGGAAATGATTATTTTGGAAGTTATAGCCTCCCAAAGTTAACGGTTTTACGTTTATATGCATGCGCGCAACACTACTATATTACCACGCGGAGGACCTCGATATTTTTATTTTAAAAGTTACAAGTCACATTTCGTTTTATTATGTTTAATTTTTATTAACTATTCAAAGCATTCATTTTCATCAGTTTCACATTCATTTTCATCAGTTTCAGTCATTTTCATCAGTTTCACAGTCTTTTCATCTTCATCTTCATCTACAATTTCGTATTTGTCGTCAAGTTGTTTGTTGTTAATATTGTACAAAGCACCTGCATGACGGAAAAACTCCACTGTCGGATCTTGTTTTAATACACGGCACTTCTTCAGGAACATGTATTTCGCTAAGTAACCGCCATAAAACTCTTTGTCTCCTATAGTTAGGCATAGACACCTTTGCGTGGCGCCAAGTAGATTCGATAGTATTAGTATGTGCACTAGTTACAGGATCCTTAAAATTTATAGAGTGGTTGACCTTAAGATGAAAATAACCTTCATTTTTGAGACAGTCGTAGGCCTAAATTTAATTACTTATTAATAATAATCTAATTTTAGTTTTATGTTAGTGTTGTTGAACTTTTATTTATTACCTTCCAACAATCCGAATTGATTGTTGTACCGGGCTTAATCCACTCTTTAATTATTTCTAATAAAGTGGAGGATGGATCTATCTTCTACTGGGATAAGAAAACAATAACCGGTTTCCCTTTCACATCCTCCGAACACCCACTGTCCTTCTACCCTATGTCCACGGTGGTACTTCCTTTTCCCAAACTTTGATTCGTCAATTTATACAGTTCTGCCTACTCCGCCCATACTCCGCCCAACAAGCATTTTTTGACGATCATACCGTCAAAAGTGACTTCCCGATAAAAAGAATTCCAGTCAGCTACTGTGTTCTTGGCAAAACGTAATTGGTTTTGTATAATAAATTATGGACAATTCATCGTCCACATATATCTAGTAAGGACAAATGTGACTTGGCAAAGAATGTACCTTTTCTAAGAGATGAACTATAATGAAAAAAAAAAACAACAAACCCTAATCTTAGCTCTGTGCATACTTTAAAATAAATTAAGAATTACTTACCTATAATTGCAACATTGTTTTTGTTTCTTTTTTGGATCGTTAACTAAATTCTGACATTTCCATTTAAATTTATCCAAAACAGTTACATCACTTATGAGTGTCATATCATGCCCACGTATTCATTTGACATTTGTTTGAATTACACCAAAATCCATTAACTTTTTTATTAATTTTAAACCATTATCCTCTAGCTCAAGTTGTTTAAAATCAAATAAATTTAGATGCTTACTGACTGCCATCTGCACATTAACCCATCAAGTTTTGGTTCTACCCACTTGAACCCACCGTGAGGCATGTACTGTGACATCGCCCACCCGTAGAGATTATTACCTATAAAGTTTAAAATAAATAATAATAATTTAAAATAAATCAATTATACTTACAATCTTGATAAACCAGCCAAGATTTAGGTTTTGTTGGATTGTAATCTGGGGTATTTTCATGATTAGCTTTGGCATACCTCATGCTAGCTTGAGTCAACCCACCTCGAATTCCTTTAAAACAGAAATATTATTATATTATATTATATTCATAAAATAAGCTCTTAAAAATTTACCTTTTTCAATCATAAGCAGCATATCATAATCAGAGAGTAAGTCAAGCTTTATAGACGTGTATTTCAGCATACAGTCAAAATTAAAACCTGGAGCTGTATAGTAGAACGCTGGGTCCAAATGGTACCCGAGTAGCAATTTGAAGGTGCAACGTCTGTGTATTTACACGGTGCTTAAAAGACCGTTCAGACACGGTGTGAGCACTGTGCAGCTTCAATAAACTATAACATTTATGCTAGGAAGGGTTGACGGTGTAAGAATAACCAATCAATAAAAGTGTTAATATATTCTTGGGTTGAATTGCGTGTGAAAATGTGAAAAAAAACACGGTGAAATAACTGTGAGAAAATTGTTTCAAGTACGGTGTTCTCAGTGTGCTATATATAATATATTATAGAGGCGAAACCGTGAAACATATTTATAGGTATTTGTGTTTTTGGTCGAATACCGTGTGTCCGTGCTAAGTACGCACGGTGAACTTACTGTGTGGAAATTGTTTCAAGTACTGTGTCCCCACTGTGCCAAAATGTAAAATAACATATATATTTATATATAGACTTTATTATATAATATATTATATAGGTAGTTGTTTATGTTTCTGGTTGAATAACGTGTGTCCGTGCAAAGCACACACGGTGAACTTATAATATAATATTATATGATAATGGGCAAATTATTTAAACCACGTGATTTAGATTTAGATTGATAATATAGCGAG